GGGGGGCGAGGCGTTTTCGTAAATTTCACTTTACGACGCTTCTTTTCATTCGATTTGCATGATTGTCACGGCGGTGAATTCAGCAAGCATGTCGCCATCGCGCTATAAGCCCACATTTTTTAATTCTTTCTCGAAAGTTCGAGAACTAATTTCAAATTTGAATTTTTTGCTAGATTTTTGGTAAAAGGGCATCGTAGCGTGAATTCTATTTAAAAAAAAAGCGTCAAATGCCGTTTACAGATCGAAAATCGGAGCATTGGTTCAGACGTTATCGGTAAAGTAAATTTTACGTATTTTGGTGCTGCCACGTGGTGGCCACAAATTGTACTAGTGTCGGTACATTTAGCCTTAACATTGAGTGAACCGGCCCTGGAAAAATAAACACCGCCTACATTGCCAGCTTTTTGAATTGCATGACGTCACACGTTTAGTTCGGCTCACGTCGGAACTGTTGTAGATGGCGCAAAAATCATTACCCCGTTTTGACCGCCAAGCTTCCCTACCCTGGTTGACTTCTAAGCTCCTTGGGTGCTCCGTGTCAGGTGGTGTCAGGGTAACACGGGTAACACTCGTTGACCAGGACTAGATTAACCAGTAGTGACGTTATTGTTGTGATATTTGGTTGTGCGAAAATATTTGTGTGTGCTAGTGTTTTTGTTGAATATTTGGTGCAATATTTTTGTACGGTAATTGCGTTTTTCAGATTAGTAACATTCAATTTTTCGTGATGCGAGAAGTGGGTTGTAAGTGTATGAATTGTAGCTCAGTGAGCAAGTTTTCAGAAATATCCTGTTCTTCATTAATAAATTCATGTCATCCCTCTGTAAATCATTTATTATTTCTAGTACCATGTCCAGTTATAATGAGCCATGGAGAAATTCAGAATTCTGCTTCTTCCAGTAGCAATGTTCAAGAGGCACTGTGTGTACAAGTTTTTAGTTCATCTAAATCAAATGAACAATCTGCTCCTTTGCACCAAATAGAAACAGATTATGTGACTTCTAGAAATAACGATTCTTGGCATCGGGGAAATAATAATCAAGTAGGTGAAACCAACTACACACTTGCAAAACTTTTAAAAACTGTTGATTATTGATAGTGAAATTATTTCTAGAATTTAGAATTGTCAGAAGGAAACCACCTGGCTTCTCGTGTGAGAAAACTGAAAAGACCTTATTCGCCGCCTCTATCAGAGAAGAAGTCCTTCAAAAAATTAAGTTCAGGAAAGTCAAAAAATGTATTGTCTGGCAATGAAGGTAAAGTGAAAGGTAATGAATATTATCAGGATAAAAAATAGTCATTATGTTAATGTACAAGGTGATTCTACACCCCGTATACCTAATGACACATGCTGTTGGAAGATGATGAAAAAGAAAAGTTGGAAGAAGATAAAAGAGTAGGCATATGGCCCACAATTTCTTGAAGTATACAATTTATGCTGCCGTTATTGTTTTAATTTCTCAGATGTTGCCAATTCTTTATTTCAAAATACTAAAAGTAACATTTGAAAGAATAATTGGCATTGATCAAAAGTGTAGCTTATGTAAAGCATATTTCTAATAACGCTGAATTTGCAGAATTTTGACACCTGTATTTTGCAGACCTGCTAATTTTTTATATTTTCTTTTTTATTAGAAAGTAATTATATATGGAACCTGATTGGTAACCATTAATGCAGTTTCTTTGAATGCATGCATATTTTGTACCTACAGCATTTATTTAAAAATTGTAAACAAAAACATAATAATAGTGTACTTAAATAAAAAAGCAATTAATTAAAGGTTACACATATTTACTGGTCACTCTTCCGTCTTTGCTAGATGATACAAGATAATGCATGCTTTGCATTGTGATGCTAATCTTAAATACATTGGAAACATGTTCTGATCCTTACGTAGAAAATAATAAGAGATGAGAGAGAGAGATATAGAAATATATGAAGAAAATATTCAAAACTGATATGTAGTATATTTCAAAATATAATCCAATTGAATTGGCGCAATAGACTGTTGCCCATGTGTCATCCATGACTGCATGTGCAGGGCTTGTGAAAAGAAATGTTCTCACCTATGCATCCTTCCTTCACTTGCCCCCAATCTTATTATTAGGAGCAGTTAGCTTCGTTCCCTAATTCCGACTTTAATTATTGTAAATTTTAATATTCACCACAAAATGAGTACAAATTGCTTTTATTGTGCTATAATTATTTTCACTTCTTGCGTTTACATGGGAGAGGGGTGTTGTCGCAAGTGTAGTGTAATTATTTAGGGGATATTCAAGTGTGCGTTACAGGGGGAGGGAGTATTCAAAATTCTCCAAATTTACATTATGTAATTTTCGGGAAGAAAGAAATATAAGAAAGTTAATATCATAGCTAGACAGTTTTCAGTATGTTCTAGTAGACTCTAATGTTTTTATTTGACAATGTTGAAATATATTTCTGAATATTCTAGTAGAAAACGTTGACTATGATTAATTATTAGTGCAGGAAGAAAATAAATCAAAAACTCTCCATGGATACTTCCACAGTTGTCAGATTTGCGAGCTATCAATTATCCACATGAGCTATACTGTCTGGCTTTTCTTATTTTTGAGTGCACAAATTAAACCACTTAGGCAGTGTAAACCTCTTGAAACAGTGGATCAAAACATTTAAAGGTCTAAAAGTACTTAGTTGATAAATAAAATGTAAGGTTTCCATGTTGGTATGCTTGGTCTGTTTCATCTCTGTCTTTGTTAAACGATTATCCCACATGCTACTTTTTTTAAATTCCTTTGTTTCAGAGAGTCAGTCTTGTGAAAAGCCTTTTGTTTGTGGAAAATGTGGTTCTCCATATGTAGTAAATCCAGCTCGTTGTCATTCATCTGCAAAAACGTACACACCTCGAAAAATATTCGATCCAATTGCAAAGAAAACATTGCTTGTGTGTAATGCTTGTAGGCTGTCCTTAGCACGATCTCAAAAGGCCAAACCACCAAGATCAAAAAAGGTAACATTAATTTCAGCAAGAAAAATATATATACACACACACACCTCAATAATTGATATGTTTTTACAAATGAAAGTTGACATAGAGAAATGAAGAAGTTTTGGAAACTTTAGAAAACTGCGAGGTTGTCTGAAAGAAATGTCAACAATTTTTTCTTCTTTAATATTTAATAGTGTGTAAATTTTGCATATGGAGCAGTTTCTTGATCCTCTTCCTTCAATAACAGCTTCTTTACTCAACAAATGGCAAAATTGCATTCAGTTTAGAAATGGCAGAGATTGACATATGTACACAATAACAAGATGTTCTAGATTTCTTAAATGTGGTAGGTTAAAAGCTGATTCGCATTTATGAAAGGCTGCAGGTGTATGTTGGATGCAACAGTAGATGCCAGCATGGTCAGATATTGGTTTGTCACACTACAAGAGCTAGAGGTCAAATGTTGATTGATGAAAAGTGGAGTGGCTGTCCAAATCTCTATAGAGGGCGTGGGACATCCATTATTCATTAATTGGATTACTCCAATATCTGTGCTGGTATTGTTGACCAACCTGACTTAAACAGGCAAGAAAACAATACGGAAGGCATTGTTGCAGTGATACATTCTAGAGGAATAGAAGTTCTGGCCAAATATTGTGATTGATGATGAGAGTCACTATAGAATCTTCTGAGACACATCACTTTGAAGATGTGTAGTTTCTAAAAATTTGTGTGTGCCAATGGCTGAGGAAGTAGACCTAAGAGTTTTACTTCTTGGGAAAGCATGGTCTTGTTTCAAGATGGACAAAATCTATGAAAAAGGCAGAGTATACTGCAAGTAGTAAATTAATTGAGATACTTGTACTTGCTGTTCTATGTAAATTGCCTCTAATTTACTTGTAAATAAAAAAGAGGGGGGGGGGGAATAGGAAGCATTTCTTAATGACTAAACCTCATATCACATTAATTGGGAGAAATAGAATTAACGGTGAAGATACATGAAAGTGAAATATGCATATATTGTAGGCTAACAATTGCATCTGCCAGGGTTTATCTTAAGAAACAAGTGTTACCGTGATAATGAAATGGTGCCAATGTCTGTAGTCCATAAGATGTGAAGAGAAACTCCTGGTAGCATCTTCGTGTAAGCTCTTCTCTCATGCACCAAAGCGATGAATTAGCTCCCAAGTTATGCTTGTTTAAAGCATTGCATATCAAACCCATCAGCCATTTTGACTGGTGCAGACATTTAAATAAATACATAAAATAGTTATGTTGTTTTACGTTACCCCATAAATTAAGTATCAAATTGTTCATAAAACTCTTAATCAAATTAAAAATAAAATAAAAAAACGTCAAATTTAAAT